GTGCCGCTTGCAGGGGTGTCGTCAAAGGTCGATTGGCATCATCATTGGGGGTCCAAAGGGGGGGGGTTGGGGGGTAATTTTTTTTTCTTTTTTTCGGTTTGACTGTTTGGGCGCATGGGGCCACGTATCCGAGGCCCAATGCTCCGGTTCCATTTTTCAAAATTCAACGGAACACCCTCGTTTTTGCGTTAAACGTGATTCAACGGGGGTCCTCGGACCCGTTAAACGCGTATAACGACGTTCAATTTTACACGTTCTCCGTTCATCGGACATACAATTTTTAATGCCGCGAGTGAACGAAAAAAGGGGAAAAAAAAATATTTTCTCTACTGCAATGATGTCGGGCTGGGTAGTCTAGGAGGTCGTGCTCACAATCTTCCTCTACAGAATGCACCTTACATGTAAGGCGGTCACATTCTGAATGTTAGTGTTTTCTTTTTATTATTGGTCGTGTGTTTGTTACGAGTCCCCTGTCCGTGAATTGCTCAAGCTATCCGTGATCTGCTCAAGCTGTGTTTTGTCAGAGGATTGTAAGGCTCATCACACTTTCATTTAGGGGAATGTATCCAGCCATTTTCACGGTCGGATTCATGTGCCCGTTTTTTTCCCTTTTTATTCTCTTTTTGGAATCTTATAATCTGGCCACGGGGTTGAGATGCCCTTATTGAGGGCACACTCACACTACCACTTCCAAGAATGTATACAACTGCAATCACGGTTAAAGCTTTGTTTCCTTTTTTTTTTTTTTTTTTTTTCTGAGGTTTACAACCGCAACTTTTTTTTTTTTTCTTTCCGTGAGAGTACCAAAAAGAAAACGGAGTCATACCCAGACTCGACAAAAATCGGAGCGCAGTGAAATTCAAGGTCGGCAAAAACAGGATTGGAGGTACTGGTGGTTTAAGGAAAATAATTTCTCTTCTATGTCCCCTAATTCTTTGGGGCAATAAAATTAAATCGTACAGATAGACTTGAAGTAATTGTTCTTTTAAGCCTTTGTTTTTACTTTTAAAATATTTTTAAGAACTTAATTGATTAAAACTATATTTAAGTAAAATAATTTTGTTTTCACGATCCCCAATTCTTTAAGGTAATAAACTCAAATCGTACAAAAAGACTTAGAGTAAATTTCAGGTTTTTAAGCCTTTGTTTTGATTTTTAAGAAATTTTTAAAAATTAATTGATTAAAATTATATATATATATATATATATATTTTCATGATCCCTAATTTTTTTGGGTAATAAATTCAAATCGTACAAAAAGACTTAGAGTAAGTCTTAAGTTTTTAAGCCTTCGTTTTGATTTTTAAGAAAAAATTGGAAGTTATTTGATTAAAATTATATTTAAGTTAAATAAATTCATTTTTATGGTCCTCAATTCTTAGGGATAGGGGTTAGATGAAGTTTAACAAAATCAAAGGGTGTAAGGGGCCTTGGAATAATTATCAAAATTTTGGAAAAAAATTGGTAACATTTACCTTTCCCCCCATTGGGATTGGGTTCATGACAAGAACTAGAATGAAAGCTGCCTATATAGGACCAGGAATATAATATAGAATAAATTTTATTTTATTTTTATTTGAATTTGTACTGTTTATTTTCAATTCAACCCATTTTATTAGTTAAGTTCAAACTATTTACTCTCCTTTTAATTCCTTGTGCAACTTTACTATGTCGGACTCACGTGAAGATATTCCCAATATTTTCGCGAATTTATCTCGAAAAGTCGCGCTCTCTACGTGAGCCGTCAAACTCACTTGACTTTTAATTTAGGATTTCAAACAAATTTTTAATTTACTTTTCTTTTATATCAATTTTTTTTTTTTAATTTATTTAACAAAGATAT